AGGAAGGGATGAACCCTTCGGTCCCTCAGGCCAACGGGTTATGCGTGCACCTGGCCCAGCAGGTGTGAGTGGAGCCTGGGTCTTGGCTGCAGCCTCCACCTCTGCCAGCCTCTGCGGGAGGTCAGGGCACAGCCCCTGCCTGTCCTCAGGGACCCCTTCCCTTCTCCTGGCCGGCTCCTCCCCATCCTGTTCCCCTCCACACTCCACATCTGGCTCTGTTCACCCCTTGTGGACTTGGTGCCGGCCTACCCACTGAGCTTGGGTTCCATAGCAAGGCACACACCCCTCCCCATCCCACAAGGCCAGGAGGCAGGTCGCAGACCAAGGGGATGCTGTCCGAGGCCAGGGAGGAGCCACTGCTTGCAGACCCTCCATCTCTCCCTTGGAATCCCATCCCAGGGTGTGGACCCCTGAGCCGGCTGATGTGATGACACCTGTGGCCTCCCCAACCACTTATCTTCAGCTCCCTCATTAGGTGGGGCAGGGTGAGGACTGTGCAGACCTGGGCCTCCATAGATCCCAGAGAGGTCCTCTATCTCTGCCTGGGTTTTCCCATCCGAGAAGTGGGGCTGAGAGGAGGAAAGGTCCTGGCAGGAGGCCCACTGACCAGGGGTGCCACACCTGTGTTTACTGCTGCCTTCTGGAGGGACATGCCCCAGGCCCCACTCCTTCTCCTGGGTTGGTAATGACAGGCTCCGGGAGTGGGGGACTTAGAGGGGTGTGCATGCACCATATGGTTGCCCTGGGTGCCTCTTCCATGGGGATGTGCCATGGTCACCGCGCCTTACTTGAGCCCACGGCTGGAAACAGGTGGCTGGGCTGGGAGGCCATCAGTGGAGGACTGGGCGGCGCCATCAGTGGAGAGGCTGGTGGACCTCCTGGTCCCATCCCGCAACCCTATCTCCTTTCCCGTGGCTGAGACTGGGGACTTTAGAGCAAAAAGCTGCACGGGGAGGAAGATACAGGGGTGAGACCCAGGCAGGAGCGTCAGGAGCGCCCGTGGCAGCGTCCAGCGTGGGCGTTGGAAGTTGGGGAGGGTGGGCGATGGTGGCTGCGCCGGCCGAGCGCTGACTATTGGAGGCTGCAGACGACGTCGGGGTACAGGCGATCCGCCCCGAGGACCTGGGTCTGACGGCAGTGAGCAGGAGGGGCCTTCAGATTGCCGGCCGGGCGCGCAGTGACGCCATCAGCGCGCGCCGCACGAATTCCGGGCGTGAGCGGCGCCGTTCCTCCCAGCCTCGGTTCTGTCTCTGTGAGGCCAGGCCCCGAGCTCCCTGCCGGCGTCGCGGGTTTCCGCCCCGGCGAGTTCGGTTCCTCCCTCAAGAGCGGGTCCGGAAAGCTTCCTGAGTGTCTCCGGATCTCCGAGGCTGGGAGCTGAGTCGCCCTGAAGGTCTGCGGCCTTTAGCTGACGGCACGCGGGCACAGCTTCTCCCGGCGCCCTGGCCCCGGTCGCGGATGTTTCTTCACCTCCCCGATCACAGCCCTGGGTCGGGGGGTGTTCCCCCGGGCCGCGAGGATAGTGGGCTGGAGGCGGGGCTCCAGGGTGCGGTCAGCCTGGAGGGCCGCCAGGGGCAGACAGGCCTGTTGGCCCGAGAGCTTGAGCCCTAGACCGCTTTTCAGCGGGGGTGGGGGGGGTGGGGGTGGTTGGGCGGCAGGCCACTGCCGGCTGCTGAGCAGGGTCGCTGGGATGGCCCATCTCTGGAGGTCACTTGGGAGATGACAGTCCTGTGGCCAAGTGGGGCCACCGGGCCAGGCCCAGCCAATGGAGGAATAAGTGGGAGTGGCTGGCCAGGCCGGGGAAACAAAAGTGACAACTGTTGGGGAGTGTCAGGCGTCAGGCCTAGACCAATCTGAGCAGAGGGGAGGTTACTCTTAGGGATATTCGCCAGATGGGCGTGGGAAGAGGAGAGCTACAAGGCCACACCAGGGGCCACCATGTTTTCCATGGTTCACCCACTCTGTTGGCCTAGGCTACGTTTGTCCACGATCCTAGGTGTTCTCTGTGGTCCTCCCATTGGCCTTTTTGGCTAGTTCTCCGCTGTGCCTGCATCTCTCTCCTTGGCTCTGTTGCCAGATCTTAAGGAGGCAGGAGATCCTCAGACCCTCCCGATTCTGTGCCTTATACAGAGGATCCTGGTCCAGGGAATCTGAGAACACATAGGAAGTAGAGTGTCAGTGAGGAAAATACTCTAGCATCCTCAGCTCAGATTGTGTTTGCTGTGAAGGCTGAGGGCACAGCCCGAAAAACAGATTTCTCTTTGTTAGCTAAAAGGAGAGAGACCCATTTGTCAGGAGTCACTCTTTGTGTGTGTGTAATAAGCTCTGATTGCCATTCATCACCTACACAAGGACATGGAAACACCAGAGGACGCTTGTGCAATAGTGGGTGAGGAGAGGCCTCAAGGAAGTGGGGGCGGGGGGCCCTGGAGGGCAGCTGCCTGAGGGCCTCTGTGATGGGGCTGGAGGTTGGCCAAGCTCTGTCCCAGGAGTGGCCACCACCTCACCCTTTGCTCCCTTGGCCTGTGTCTGAGGCCATTGTCCAGGGCACATTTTGTGATGATCCCAGGCTCAAGATGATGCCAGATGGTGAAGGCTGCCTGAGGCTGAGTGGCTTCCAGCTGGGCACAGAGGCTCTGGCTGTGGGCAGCATATGGTGACCTGGAGTCTCCACACTCAGCTCACATCTCTCCTCTGATATGCAGACCCAGTCACCTCCTGGGGCTCTCCCTGGCCCTGGCCTGTGTGTCCAGGTTGGTGGGGGATCACACTGGAAGTTGATTCTTTTGTCTCCCGACTGCTCAAAGATCTGCCCACGTCATTCTGCCCCTTTGCCCCTGTGCTGCAAAGGCAAGGTCCCCTGCCATCGGCCTCTGCCCTGCAGCCTTCAAGATCTTGGTTAAATGCAGCTGAGCTCCCTCCAGGCATCTGCCTGCCTCTCTAGCCACTCTCCACCTGCTCACTTCCCTCCAGCCTTGCTGGTCTTCTCTCAGCTCAAGAGACCCCGCTCCTCCCCCCTCCCCCTCCCCGCCCCCTCAGGTCTCAGTTCCAGGAACTGAGGCTGCTGACTTATTCCAGCTACCTGTGAACAGGCGGGGCCAGGGTGGGGGACCAGTGGTTCACTGGGGCTGGTGGATTCTCCAGGCTCACAGCCCCAGGGTACACAGGCCCAGCTCAACCAACTTTTCTGGCTGGGCTACCTGCTGTCCACCTTGTGCTGTGTGGCACAAGAGAGGGGTCCCTGCCCCTCCTGGGTACAGGTCCCCATGCCCTTCTTTCAGTTCAGAGTAGCCTGTCCCCTTCCTCCTCGTGAAAGGGGATGGGGACAGGACTTGGGGAGCAGTCAATGAGCAGACGCCATTCCTAGAGTTCAGAATTCCAGGACACTGAGTCCCCTCAGGGCCCAGCTCCTGGGCTCTGCCTGCTCTAGGAACTACCTGGGACCGTGGGGCACTGCCAGCAGTCTCCCGTGAGGGTTCACTCTGTGCAAAGCATTGTTCTAAGTGCCTTACAGACATTACATCATTCCAGCCTCATAGCCCACTGGAGTGGGTTCTTGTGTCACCTCATTTCACAGGTTGGGAAATGAAGATTAGGTGGCTTGCCTCAGCCTGTGAACAGACAAGCTTTGCTGCTGGGCCCTTTCTCCTGCATCTCCTGTGAGCACTGAGGGCATACACACAGCCTGGTCCTTCAAAACCACATTCCCTTGCACCCTCAAGCCCACCCTCGGCCCCCAGATCTGCCCCAGACACCAGGTGCTGTGTGAGGTTGCTGGGGTGGGGAACTCTCCCCCAGAAGGAGCAGCTCCAGGAATGGGACCTGCTTGCTGGGAGTCTCCTGCGGGCAGGTTATTTCCCAGTCTGAGCTAAGCCCTTTGTGTGGCTTTTGCCGTGTAGGCTTTTGCCTTCCTGTCCCTTCCTGTCCAAGGGATAGGAAGGTCCTTTGCCCCCTCACAGCCTGGGGCACTGGCTTATCCCATCCTGTTCACACCTCCTCCACCTGGCTTGTGGGTGGTGGTTCCCAGCCAGATCTGGGCCACAGGGGCCCTCCAGTTCAGGGTTCTTTGGCCCCCACGCTGGGCTGGGCTCCCAGCTGTGCCTGGGCCCCGGGATGGGGGGGGGTCTTCAGCAAGAGGGACACCTTCCTGAGGTTGAGCTGTGGGGTGAGGGCTCTAAGTGCCCACCCCTTCCTGCCCCCAGGGCTGCTACCTCCCAGCCTAAGTGAAGGATTAAGAAAGGACCTCCTGGACTTCCCTGGTGGCGCTGTGGTTAAGAATCCACCTGCCAATGCAGGAGACACGGGTTCGAGCCCTGGTCCAGGAAGATCCCACATGCTGCGGAGCAACTAAGCCCGTGCGCCACAACTACTGAGCCTGTGCTCTAGAGCCCACGAGCCACAACTACTGAGCCCACGTGCCGCAACTACTGAAGCCTGTGCACCTAGAGCCCATGCTCCACAACAAGAGAAGCCACCACAATGAGAAGCCTGTGCACTGCAACGAAGAGTAGCCCCGCTCCCCGCAACTGGAGAAAGCCCACACGCAGAAATGAAGACCCAACGCAGCCAAAAAAAACCCCAAAGGACTTCCTGGTGAGTCTCGGGACCAAAAATTGGTCACCTCAAAGCAGTGCCCCTTGAGCAGACCATCACAGGGAAACCATGAGGGGGTAAGCTGGGCTGCAGGACAGACAAGAGCCCAAGAGCACTGTCTCCAGGTGCAGCCACCAGTGTGGGGCAGCTCTCCTTTGCCCACTCAATGTTGCCTGCCAGGTGACCCTGCAGGATCTTGCCCCCAGGCCATAGGCAAAGCCTGGATGGAGGCCAGATATTCCTTGGCCTGGTGTCAGGCCTCCCAAGGGGCTAACACTGTGGCCACAGCTCGCTTGCCCACGAGCCTGCCTGGCCCCAACAGTGTCCTCGGGTGAGGAGTGGGCCTGCCCTTGGCAGAGGTGTGGCCACCACTGCCCACCCACAGATGGGCTGACACAGGGACAAGAGGCTGCAACGGGATCCAGTTTATTCTGCCTTGGAAGGGTGGTCCTGAGAGTGGCAGGTGCCACCCTGTCCTGGGCGGAGGGAGGGCCCAAGGGCTGGTTAAGGCCAGTGGCGGGAGAAGCGGGGGGTACGCAGCCCCTGGAATGCAGTGAGGCCAGGCTGAGGCCCGGAGGCAGCTGTGGTAGGCCGGGGTGATGCCCCTGCTGCCCAGGGTGGAAGGCACTGGGCTGGGACCAGGCCATGGCTACAGGGCCGTGACCCAGGCCACACGGGCACCCCGGGAAGTGGGGAACAGGGTCACAGGACACGAAACATGAAACACAGGCATACGAGTAAGCACGTGGACATGTGGGCACAGATTCACAGGCCAGAGGAACACCCAGTCTCAGCTGGACACATGGACACCACGGTGGTATCATACAGACCACAGGGGACACATGGACCCGATGGCCACAGGGGACAGCCCTGGGCCATGGACTGTAAGGGACAGGGGAAGGGGGCCTTTTGGCACGACTGCACTGGAATTGTGAGAAGGGGGCGCTGGGGGCAGCCCATGCGCAGACCCCGGGGCTCAGTCCGTCTTCCACACTTTGTTGAGCAGCTTCACCACCTCGTCGTAGATGACGAACACGATGGCCACGTCCAGGCACACCCGGCCCAGGCGGGGGACGGTGCCCTTGTAGAACCTGAGGAGGGAGGGTGAAGAGAAGATGAAGCCAGCGTGTCTGGAAAGTGTGGGTGGGTCCAGAGATCCGAGGGAGGAGCAAGAGCAGAAAGAGCAGACTCCCTGGGGACAGGACAAGGGGAGGGCCTGGGGTGGGTGGACAGGAGGTGAGGTGTGGCCCAGGTGGAAGGCGGGGGCCTGGGGTGAGGACTGCAGCCCTGCCCCTCTTCCACTCACGCCTTGGGCCCCTCGTTCCTCAGGATCTGCAGGCCGCAGTCCCACGTGTTGCGGTACTTGTGCGCCTCTAGGCCCTGCAGAACACCAGCAGCTGTGGGATTCAGCAGCCAGTCCCACCCCTTCCCGGCCCCTTCCCGGCCCCGCCCCCACCTGCATCCGGGTCTTGATCACGTCCAGAGGAGTGTTCCCGAAGACACTGGCTGCACCCGCGATGGCTCCAAACACGCCAGTGATGAGCGGGTTCATGGGCTTGTCGGGGTTGTCCCCTGGATGGGCGTGAGGGCTGTGGTCAGAAGGGGATGGAGGACAAGGGCTGGGTTCCAGACCTGGAGGTAGGGTCTTGGGGAACAGACGCACCTCGGTACCAGTTGCGCAAAGAGGTCATGACGAAGAATCGAATGGCCTGGTTGGATCCCTGCTTCAGCACGGTGGCCGTGAGGCCCTGGTATGTCCCCTTCAGCCCTGGGGCGGGCAGGCACTGCGGTCACACTGACGCCTCCAGGCCCCGGCCCGCAGGAGCGCCAAGGCAGGAAGGGGAGGTGCCAGCCCTTTGCAGCCAGACCCAGGTCCCTAACCCCACTTGAGTAAGGCTGAGTGGCTCACCTTGTTCCCGCACGATCTCCCTGACCCCGTGGAAGAATCCTCTGTATTTGGGGCTGGGGGAGGTCTGGTCATGGATGAACTTCACCTGAGAAAGAGGGAAGCAAAGGCGCTGGCTCCCAAGGGTCAGGGCTAGGGCACACCTGGCCTCTGAGACACATGGCCCCAGGAGCAAGAGGGCCGCCTTACCGAGGAGCCTCCGCCGTCATGTCTGCTCGTTTTTCCCACAACTTAGGCAGCAAACACGTGTTACCTTATGGTTTGTGCTCGTAAGTTTTTTAAGACCTTGTCTTCCCACTGCCTCCAGAATAGAGTCCAGTCCACAGAAGGCTCTTCCAGCGGGCCTCCTGCTCCAGGCTCCCCAGGCAGACCCCTGCCCACCTTGATGGTCTCCACCGGGCACAAGACCACCACCCCGGCCACCCCAGCACTCTCTCACGCCTGTCCCCTACCGCGACCTGCCCACCTTGATGGTCTCCATGGGGCACACGACCACCACGGCCTCGGCCACACCAGCGCCCAGGCCGCACAGCAGCCCGCGCGTGCTGTCCAGCCGTCCCTGGGCGTCCCGCATGTGGTTGCTGAGAAACTCGAACATCCCGAATCTGGGGTGGGAGGCAGAGGCATGAGAGGGGCCGCCGCGGGGCCGGGACTCCCTCCCGCGGCCCCAAGCCCGCCTCACCTGACGGCCGCCTTCGGAATGGAGCCGTAGAGCAGGGAGCTGAGGCCGCGGTACAGGCCCAGGACGCCATGGTTGCGGACCGTCTGCCGCACGCAGTCCCCTGGAGGAGGGGGCGGTCAGCGACCCCACCCGCCGGCCTGCCCGCCCCCGCCGGCCACCCCCACTCACCGATGCCCCGGTAGCGCGGCGGGTGCGAGCGCTCGTCCAGCTGTAGCTGCGTTTTCACATACTCGGTGGGAAAGGTGATGCAGATTTCGATGCCACCCGCCAGGCCGCCTGCGGGGAAGGACCGAGACCCGGACCGCGCTGAGACCCCTCCCCCTCCCTGCCGGCGTGCCCCTCCCCTGCCCCCGCCCGGACTTTGCCCGCCGCCCGGGAGCCGGCCCCACGCCCCTCCCGCGGTCCTAGCGGGGCGCCGGGGGGACACGCGGAGGGGCCCGGGCCCACCCGGAAGCGCGGCAAAGCCGGTGTCCCGGACCCACCCGGAAATGCGGCGTGGTCGGGTGGGGGTCGGGGTCCGCGTGCGCGTGCCCCACCTGCCAGGATCGCCTTCCCCGGGTGCGTGAGCGCGGCCTTCCCAGGCGCTGGCGCGCCGGCCGCCAGAGCGCGGGGCGCGGGCATGGCGGGCGGGGTTCGGGGCGCGGCGGCGGCCTCGGGTCCGATCTCCTGCGCTCGGTCTTGGCGGCGGCGGCGGCGCCGGTTATGGGCCGGGGCGGGTCGGCCGCGTCGCTCCGGGGCTCCGCCCTGCGTAGTCCGAGCCCGGCCCTGCCCCCGGGCCGCCCGTAGACCGCGGGAAACTAAGGCCGGGTGGGCCGGCGGCCGAGCCAATGGCCGCGCGGGCCCGACTAGGCACCGCCCCCGGAGCCCCGCCCCCGGGGCGTGTGGGGCCGCCCCCTCCCTACCGGGAGGGCGGGGCCGCCGCGAGGCCTCCGCGGGATTCCAGGCTCCGGGCGGCGCACACGGTGGGGAGAAGACCCCTGACAAGCCTTGCTCACCGCCCTCCCCCCACAAGAGGCTCCGCAGCTCTTCTGGCCCCTCCCGCCCACGCCAGCACCGGCGGGGAAGCTCGGCCCGGATAAACAGACTTTCATTTAATGTGCGAGTTACACGTTCTGTCCAGCGGGTCCGCAAAGTGACCCGTGGGGTGGGGGCAGCTCTGCCAGCGCGGAGTGGACAGGGCGCCGTTCCCCTGCGCCTGGGAGTACTTGCGCTCGACTCCCCAAGAGTGCAGGCTCCAGCCAGAGGGCCCAGAGGTCGGAGTCCACCTCCTGCGCGGCGGCCGCAGCGGTTGCCTCGGGCAGTCAGTGGCCGCCCCAGGCCCCGGGCGGCTCAGAGGCTGCCATCACTGGGCTCCAGCAAAATAAATGACGTCCAGGCGTCCCGTGTCCCGTGGGTTCTCTGCGCTTCTGGGGTGACGCGCTCCTTGGAGAGGTTAGTGACCCGTAGAGGGTGCTGCACCCGGCGCCCTCCCCGCGTTAGCTGCACAAGGGAGCAGGCGGGGGAAATCGGCAGGCCGGGCCTGCAGCGGGCCTGCTGTCAGCGTAGAGGCGGCCTAAGGAAGGAGAGGCCCAGGGTGAGGACTCCTGCTGCCCCCGAGTGGCCAGGGGTCCAAGGAGCAGGGTTCAGGCCAGCGCAGACCACACAGAGGCTGCAGGGATGGTGGGAGTTGCTGTTGTGGGGCCCCTGGAGGACTGGCCAGGCTGTAACCTAGTCCCCACACAGACACCTACTTAGCTCAGTGGGCTGCGTCCATGCATGCCCATCAAAATATGAAGAAACAGACTGACATTAATGCTGGGTGGGCCTGAGTATGGAGGACACAGGTGTGGGAGGCCTGAGGCTCCGTGCTGCCTGCCCACACACTTCAGGCCTGTGTCCCTCTTGCAGCCTCTGTGCAGGGGACACCAACCGCTCTGTCTGCTCACAGCCAGGCCATCCAGGCAGCTTTCCAGTGCAGAGCAAGCGCAGGCTTGTTGCCTGGGGCCAGGCAGCGGCGGGGGCGGCGGGGGGAACAGCAGTATTTGTAGCTGGGCAGCTGCCAGGCATGCAGATCTGGGAAGATGAGGCCATGCCAGTCCAGCAGTCCTGGAGCACTGACCTTTGCCCTCCCCGTCCATCCCACCCTGCCCGAAACCCAGCCAGGGAAGGGCAGGCGGTGTCAGTCACTGCCCCACTCTCCTCCCCTCCCCAGGGGACAGGGGACTGGGGGCCACGGGCTGCCCCCTACCAAACAGGAGAGGGGCAGGTGCCACCATGTGCTCCTCTCACTGCCACAGTCTCTCTGGGGCGTCCAGTCTGTCCACCTGCAAAGAGGAGGGAGTGCCGAGTGCCTGCCTGACAGGCTGCGTGCAGGCTGGGCCTGGGGTTGGTGGGGGGCTGGGCAGCAAGCACCCCGCCGGCCTGCCCGCCCCCGCCGGCCACCCCCACTCACCGATGCCCCGGTAGCGCGGCGGGTGCGAGCGCTCGTCCAGCTGTAGCTGCGTTTTCACATACTCGGTGGGAAAGGTGATGCAGATTTCGATGCCACCCGCCAGGCCGCCTGCGGGGAAGGACCGAGACCCGGACCGCGCTGAGACCCCTCCCCCTCCCTGCCGGCGTGCCCCTCCCCTGCCCCCGCCCGGACTTTGCCCGCCGCCCGGGAGCCGGCCCCACGCCCCTCCCGCGGTCCTAGCGGGGCGCCGGGGGGACACGCGGAGGGGCCCGGGCCCACCCGGAAGCGCGGCAAAGCCGGTGTCCCGGACCCACCCGGAAATGCGGCGTGGTCGGGTGGGGGTCGGGGTCCGCGTGCGCGTGCCCCACCTGCCAGGATCGCCTTCCCCGGGTGCGTGAGCGCGGCCTTCCCAGGCGCTGGCGCGCCGGCCGCCAGAGCGCGGGGCGCGGGCATGGCGGGCGGGGTTCGGGGCGCGGCGGCGGCCTCGGGTCCGATCTCCTGCGCTCGGTCTTGGCGGCGGCGGCGGCGCCGGTTATGGGCCGGGGCGGGTCGGCCGCGTCGCTCCGGGGCTCCGCCCTGCGTAGTCCGAGCCCGGCCCTGCCCCCGGGCCGCCCGTAGACCGCGGGAAACTAAGGCCGGGTGGGCCGGCGGCCGAGCCAATGGCCGCGCGGGCCCGACTAGGCACCGCCCCCGGAGCCCCGCCCCCGGGGCGTGTGGGGCCGCCCCCTCCCTACCGGGAGGGCGGGGCCGCCGCGAGGCCTCCGCGGGATTCCAGGCTCCGGGCGGCGCACACGGTGGGGAGAAGACCCCTGACAAGCCTTGCTCACCGCCCTCCCCCCACAAGAGGCTCCGCAGCTCTTCTGGCCCCTCCCGCCCACGCCAGCACCGGCGGGGAAGCTCGGCCCGGATAAACAGACTTTCATTTAATGTGCGAGTTACACGTTCTGTCCAGCGGGTCCGCAAAGTGACCCGTGGGGTGGGGGCAGCTCTGCCAGCGCGGAGTGGACAGGGCGCCGTTCCCCTGCGCCTGGGAGTACTTGCGCTCGACTCCCCAAGAGTGCAGGCTCCAGCCAGAGGGCCCAGAGGTCGGAGTCCACCTCCTGCGCGGCGGCCGCAGCGGTTGCCTCGGGCAGTCAGTGGCCGCCCCAGGCCCCGGGCGGCTCAGAGGCTGCCATCACTGGGCTCCAGCAAAATAAATGACGTCCAGGCGTCCCGTGTCCCGTGGGTTCTCTGCGCTTCTGGGGTGACGCGCTCCTTGGAGAGGTTAGTGACCCGTAGAGGGTGCTGCACCCGGCGCCCTCCCCGCGTTAGCTGCACAAGGGAGCAGGCGGGGGAAATCGGCAGGCCGGGCCTGCAGCGGGCCTGCTGTCAGCGTAGAGGCGGCCTAAGGAAGGAGAGGCCCAGGGTGAGGACTCCTGCTGCCCCCGAGTGGCCAGGGGTCCAAGGAGCAGGGTTCAGGCCAGCGCAGACCACACAGAGGCTGCAGGGATGGTGGGAGTTGCTGTTGTGGGGCCCCTGGAGGACTGGCCAGGCTGTAACCTAGTCCCCACACAGACACCTACTTAGCTCAGTGGGCTGCGTCCATGCATGCCCATCAAAATATGAAGAAACAGACTGACATTAATGCTGGGTGGGCCTGAGTATGGAGGACACAGGTGTGGGAGGCCTGAGGCTCCGTGCTGCCTGCCCACACACTTCAGGCCTGTGTCCCTCTTGCAGCCTCTGTGCAGGGGACACCAACCGCTCTGTCTGCTCACAGCCAGGCCATCCAGGCAGCTTTCCAGTGCAGAGCAAGCGCAGGCTTGTTGCCTGGGGCCAGGCAGCGGCGGGGGCGGCGGGGGGAACAGCAGTATTTGTAGCTGGGCAGCTGCCAGGCATGCAGATCTGGGAAGATGAGGCCATGCCAGTCCAGCAGTCCTGGAGCACTGACCTTTGCCCTCCCCGTCCATCCCACCCTGCCCGAAACCCAGCCAGGGAAGGGCAGGCGGTGTCAGTCACTGCCCCACTCTCCTCCCCTCCCCAGGGGACAGGGGACTGGGGGCCACGGGCTGCCCCCTACCAAACAGGAGAGGGGCAGGTGCCACCATGTGCTCCTCTCACTGCCACAGTCTCTCTGGGGCGTCCAGTCTGTCCACCTGCAAAGAGGAGGGAGTGCCGAGTGCCTGCCTGACAGGCTGCGTGCAGGCTGGGCCTGGGGTTGGTGGGGGGCTGGGCAGCAAGCACACAGCCTCCAGAAGAGTTAGAGCTGAGGCCGGGCACACGGGGCACCCACCATGACCTCTGTAACCAGGCAGAGATGGGGCGGGGGACCCTGGTGAACCCCAGCCGCTGCTGCAGCCCTGTGCCTTCAAGTGGGCACTTGGCCGCCAAGGCACCAGAGTGGTAGACAGTGACAGCAGTCCATGGGTGGAGCTGAGTCCTCCTCTGGACATGGGGACACTGCCAAGACAAGGCAGTGCTTCCTGCTTTCAGCTAGTCCAGGCTGCCCACCCCTGTTAAGGAGACCAGTCAACTGACACCTGGGACTCACCCCCTGCACCAGCCATCTGAGGACAAGCTGCCCCCCGCCCTTCCTCCAGGAATTCCCAGATGCTGCCCGTGCAGTGTTCACAGGCCTGTGCAGACACATGGACAGGGAAGGAAGAGGGTGAGGCGTAGCCATGGGGCTGCGGGGTGGACACACTGTGTTCTCCAGACAAGAGCAACTGTGTGTCTGGGACTCCAAACAAGCACCTGGGTGAGAAGAAAGTCACGTGTCCGGCACATACTCAGATCTGGGAGAGACCAGACCAGCCGGGACCAAGCAGAGACAGCCCTCCCCTCCCTCCATGAGACCAGGGCTGAGGAGAGGAGCCGGACAGTCTGAGCTGGGCCCATGGACTCCCCTGGGAGAGCCCAGGGGGTTGTTCCAGGAGGGTTGGCCCTCAAGCTTCCCGGATGAGTCAAGAGGCCCAGGGCCCGGTTTTCCACTCGGGAAGGGGCCCTGGCCTTCTTGTCTGGGCGCTCGGCCTCACAGCACTGTCCAGTCGGCCAGGCCCCCCACCACCTGAGCAGCCCCCCTCGAACCCCCTCAGCTTGTCCCAGACAAGCTCCTGTCCTTCCCTCCAGCCGTCTCTGCTTTAGTCTTCCCCATCAGTGATGATAACCCTCTGTTTCTGATGTTCAAGTGCCAAAGCAGTCATCCTTGGCTTCTGTCACTCCACACCCAATCCATGTGCACGTGGG